TCCTGTTCTGCCTTTCTGTTCCACCTACTGCAGGCATCTGGAGGTGGCACAGTAGGGCCCCACAAACCTCAAAAGCCTGTCTGGGACCAGGACATACCTACAGAACACTCCCCACATGGCCCATACCTGAACACAGGAGTGAACAAGCAGAGGCTCCCAAGAGACACATTGAAAACAGAGAGAAAGCCAGCCAAAGCCTGTTCCCAGGAGGGTATCGATACCTGAGGCACTGAAGAGATGCAAAGGGTCCCTCACAGCTCAGGCTCTCCAGAGGGAGGTTACAGATTGGCCTCAAACAGTGGAAGGTCAAGGAGTGGCTAAGCTGCCAGGGGACTCAGAAGCTAGTTCTGAGAGCTAGCTGTCTGAAAGATACCAGAGGACAGCCAGCGCCTCACTCCCCTCCCCCACAAAGCAGGGTCATGAACTTCTTTCCCTGACACACCAGGCAACAGCGCTGTGAAGCTCCAGTCCCTCTGGTGGCCATTATTGGAAACTACATCTTCCCTAGAGTCCTATGGAAAATCCAATCTCCCATCACAGACACGGATATAACAGATAGGGGCCGTGGGAGATCTAAGGGCACATCACCCTCCTAATACAGATGAGGAAACAAAAGCTGGGAGAGTAGAGGATACCTTCTTTAAGCTTTGAAGCTGAATTTGGCATGTTGTAAAACAGAGGCTCATGTGTGGTCAAAGCCAGTCTTTCAAGACACCTCCTGGACAGGCTAGCATTCAGACTTGGCTTCAGACACAAAAGTGCAAACTGACAGCAGTAACATTACCTCTCTCAGTTCATCTGAAGCTCTGGCCTCAGCCAATTTCTTTAAAACTGAGCTTGAATCATCAGAATGGGTGACAAGCTTCAGAGTTGTGCAGATGGGGATTGGAATTCTGGATGACTGGTCTGCACACCCACCCCTCTGGGACATGAGGCCAAGATGAAATGACATAATGAATGCAAAACACCTGCCCCATGAAATGTACTCTTTTCTCCCCAAAGCAATCTCTGAAAGTCACTCTACATGTCTTGCACTCTAAGCTTTCCACACAATCCAGCTCCCAGTAGTATATCTGTGGTCAGGCTATTTTTATAATGGGTCTATGAGGAGCCTAGGGTCCTAAGGCTAGAAGGGATCTAGGATGTTATCTGATAGCCTCAGCCCTCTGGCAGGTGGCAGGTAAGTCTAGAAAAGGTGGGTTGGCAATCCTCTTCAAGAACATGTCTTGGCCTCCTTAGAGAGGCATTGCTGTGTTGGCTTTTTTTTCCTCCCTAATTTCCTTAAACCCAGCTGTGATAGTTCATTTACCACTTAAGCCCACTTCTGTTTTATGTAAGTGAGGAACACTTACGAAGCATCTCCCTCAGCAGGGGGGAGGGGGGGTGAGGGGAACACTACATATTGTCTTAGTTGACCTAAGTTAGCCTTACTTTCCTGGGGCTAAACAACCAACATTAATTATTCTTTATTTAGCAACCCTTCCTGTTAGTATCTTTCTTCTCTTGTGAAAACTCTGGATTTGCCACAATTTTAACAGCAGTTATACAAAATCAACAGAATAGTTACAAAACAAATATTTGCTGAATGAATTGTTGAAACTAAACAAGACCCACTAACTAAAGGCTAACTGATGCAAAATGTAAAGTAAGGTTTTTGAATCGAGTGGCATTGTTTATCACAGCACTTAAGCTGCATTTCCCCCCAGGTGATGTGATAGATGGCTCAACGGCCATTAAAGGTCACTATGATGAAGCTCCAGGTCTCTGGACAACCGGGATTCTCCAGGCCTTTTCTTTTTTTCTTTTAATCTCATAAAGGTGCTGTCTTCCATTCCCTGAGCAGATCGTGTTGCATTTTCTCCCTCCTGTATTTCATCAGTTTTGTAGGTCTTATTCCTCAGCTTATCAAGGCCACACTGGACTTTATTTCTTCCTTCCAGGAAAGCCATATCTCATGCATGACCTTCAGCATCAGTTTAAATATTACCGAACTAATTCCTCTGTTTAAGACATGGAATTAAAATAGGCATCAGGGCCAGTGGCCTTGAAAAATCACTTTAAATATACTTTTAGATTAATGTCAAATCACTGAAAATTGTCCCCTGAGTGCAACACTGAAGCCAGTTATTCAACTGAGTGTTAATATAAAAACACTCACAAAATTCAAAATAGATTTGTATAAAACAGAGGTGCAAGAGAAGATTTCAGTATAAATAACTTTTAATGGTCAATCTCAGTAGTCATAAAATAAATGTAAATTAAATAAGATGACAAATACTTTGGCCTACTAACTTGAAAATAAATTATATATAGAAAGAGATATATAAATACAGATAGATATATAGATATAGATATAGATACAAATATATAGGTAATAGCCATTATGATTCAGTGCAAAAAGCAGGCACTTAAAGCAATGCTGAAAGGAATAGAAATGAGGCCATATTGGGGAAGGAGGGAAGCAATATGAATGAAAAGCTTTAAAAACAAACATTCTGAATCCACGATTTCACTTCTAGAAGTGCACCCTAAGGAAACAATTAAGAATGTTCATAACAATTTGGTTTTAAGAGCTCCCGTCATGGCACAGTTCATATAACAAATGCTGGAAACCATCCAGCTCTCACACAGCAGGGGGCAGACTGAGAAATGGGAGCTCATCACATTTGAGATACTATGTCAGCCTTACAAATGAGATTGGAAAGTTATGTGTGCTGACTTGCAAAAATGTTCTTATGTGAAACAGCAAGATCTGTACACTATAATTCCATTTTTTTGTAAAATTATATTTTATGTATTTCCCACATGGGGAAAAGTTCAGAAAGATTTACACCAGTCCTGACTGGTGTAGCTCAGTGGATTGAGTGTCATTATATGAACCAAAAGGTTGCCGGTTCAATTCCCAGTCAGGGCACATGCCTGTGGACCAGGTCCCGTGGTTGTGAGTGTATGAGAAACAACTGATAAAGTCTCTCTTCCTCTCTCCCTCCCTTCCCCTCTCTCTAAAAATAAATACATAAAATCTTTTTTAAAAAAACGATATACCAACATGTTAACATTTGTTAACTCTGGGCGATGGGATTATAAGTAGTTTTTCTTTTCTTTTAACTTGTTTATCTTTTCTAATTTTCACATAATGATATTTATTCCTAACATAAAAGCAAAAATACAGATTTTTTGGGGGGGGTGGGGTGTCTAGGTGAAAGTGCTCTTTCAGTTGATCCTCCCCTTAGTAAACATGCCTGATGTATGGGCAGTAATTCAAAAGGTCAAATCATTCTATAGCAGATACAATCTCAACAAGGATTCACTGTGTAGAAATTGTCTCTAGGTCCCACCAGAAATCTGCTTTGATAATCTCGTTTCTACAAAATTCATTACAGGGATAAGTAATTAAAGTAGTCTCATGAATAATTTCACAGAGAGAAGGAGCAGCAGATCTTGAAGTAGAAATCTCAGATTTGAAATTTAGTTCTGACACTTATTACCTGTGTAATTTAATACCACTTTTAAACCTCTCTAAGCCAGTTCCCTTATCTATAAAACAGTGATACAAATTCCATCAGGTTGCTGTGAGGCAAAAAATGTTATGTCAAAATAATTTATAAAATATGCACTGGCCAGGTGGCTCGGTTGGTTGGAGCATCGCTCCATATACCAAAAACGCTGAGGGTTTGATTGCCGATCAGGGCACATACTTATGTTGCAGATTTCATATCCAGTCAGGGTGAAAATGGGAGGCAACCAACCTATCAATGTTTTCCTCTCAGGTTGAGGTAGCTCTCTCTCACCTTCCTTTCTCTCTAAAATCAATTTAAAAAAAAATCCTCAGGCGAGGATTAAAAATAATAATAGTAATTTATAAAATATCAACACTCTGAGTGCTCCTTACTCAAGTGCAATGGGATTTATTTGCAACCATCATTTCATCCCCTTTTTCCTGTTAATGTACCTTAAGTCTCCTTTGGGAGGCACTCCTCCCATCTTCCTGGTCCAGGAGTAGAGGGCCTACCCCTTGGCTTCAGGAGTCCTCAAGACCCACTCTGGGCCAGTGAGAGAACTTTGTCCTGATGGCCTTAGGATTGGTTCTGAGATGGGCTCATGACCAAGACCAAACTAATGAGACTCCCCTCTTAGATTTTTCCAAAAGTGATAGGGAGGTAGAGTTCTCTCCTATGAGGGTTGCTACGTGAAAGAAGGAAACCGTAGGTACTGGGGCTCTCAAAGCCACCACACAAGAACAGTATGCCTAAGAATGAGGCCAACAAGGGAAGGTGAAGCATTATGGAATAAGGTGGACTCTGACTCAGGTTCAGCCCCTGGGCCCCACCTGCTTGGAGCTCTGCAGTTATTGAACCAGGAAATACCTGTGAACCTGTTTCAGTCAGGTTTCTAGAACTTGCCAATCCCAAAGAGTTATGTCTTTTCTTGTAGAACACCAATTCACTTGCTCACTTGGAAAATTAAAACTGCTTGCAGAGAATTTCATTAAGGAGCTTGAAAAATAAAAGGAGTAGAGGATGACAATAGGGACAGTCTTGAGATGAATATATAACCTGAGAATATATTCTTAATCATTAACAATTCTGCATGAATTCATTGATCCAGCTTTCAGTTGGCTTAATGCTAGCTGCTTGAGTGGGATATTTACATTACATCTCTTTTTCCCTACTTTATTAAGACTACTCTTTTCTATTGAAATGTCAGAGAATCATAGTATTTTAAAGCTGGAAAAGACATCAATATATCAGTCCCATGGTCTTACTTACAGATGAAGAGACTGAAGCCAAGATTAGAAAAGGAACCCACTAAAGGTCACACCGCTGCTCATTATCAGGCAAGCAGAAACTCCACCAGTTGTTTTTGCCACTGGACCCCCCTGAGGATTACTGCTATAGAAGGTGAAGGAAGGCACCAGCTCTAGTTCTTCTAGACCCTCCAAAAAACCTAGAGATGCAATGTATAATAATATTAGTAACAATTAGTTTTGGTTTCTGCACTTGCTTCAGCAGCACATATACTAATATTGGAACGATACAGAGAAAATTAGCAGGGCCCCTGCACAAAGATGACATGAAAATTTTTGAAGCATTCCATATTTTTTCAATTTAAAAAAAATATACTGGTTTCCTCTAACACATACCATCAACATGCTCTCGTGACAATAGCCCAGGTCCATAGGCATCACTGCTCAGGAGACACTGATTCTAGACTCAGGTCTACTGCACTCAAGTTGTGTGACTTTGGGCAAAGTTCTTGCTGTGGGAAAGCAGACCAATCAAAAGATGAGCAATGAGGGAGCCTGGACAAAAGCAGCTCTCTTTTTTCCACCTGCTCTAAATCTCTTGCCCATTCCCTTTGGAGGGCACTTGTTGTCCCCACCTCAGAGTCCTTCAAGTGTATACAGTATAGATAAGAAAACAGACTTGTGTTGTGGAGCTGGTACGTTGTGTACCTCAGACATTGTGCACCTGAGTTAAGCAGGAGAAAGAATGCATGCAAAGTGCTCATTACATGGCTTGCATTCAATGAATGACAGGTATTTTTATTACAATGACACCTAAAGAAGCCAATGGGATAAGAAAAGAGATGAGGTGAGAGAAAAAGAAAAGGAAACAATGGAGAGAGGTGTGTGCGAAGCAAATCTGAGTCAAAACCAGGGTCTTCCTGCTGTGATCCTGAGGAAGGTCTAGGTGCACAACTGTGGCTTTCTCGGCCAAGCTCTCTGAGTGACTGTCTTAGACTAGAATCTCAATAGTTTGAACAAAAGGAAAAGCCCAGAGAAAGGCCAAGTACATACAATTGTCCAGTACAAGGTAAAAGTAGCATTTCTTTTCAATGATGAGAGGATAGACTTATCAATGAATGCTGCTACAGCAATAGGTTATAAATATGAGGAAAATGAATTAGATCCCTACCTTATATCATACTCCAAATTAAATAACAGAATAAAATATAAAAAATAAAGCTCAAAAAAAATAGAAGTAATAAAATGTATGTATCATAGGGAAGAAAAGGCTTTTCTAAACATAAAGCATAGAAAAACACATAAAGACATTCCAAAAGGAAGATTGTTTTAAGCTTATAAAAATTAAATTTATATATATCAAAAATTCCTAAAATAAAGATAATTGACAAACCAGAAAAATGCTTTCTCGTGTGTGTGTGTGTGTGTGTGTGTGTGTGAGAGAGAGAGAGAAATGGTTAGTATCCATTCTATATGAAAATGTATACATTAATAAAAAAGCCTCAGTAGAAAAAATGAAAAAGTAATAATAATAGCTAATACTTACAGAGGACTTACAATGTGCCATGCACTGTGCCAGGCACTTTAAAATGTATTATTGCATTTAAATTTCACAACCCTAAGATATTACTATTATCCCCATGTCCTAGATGATAAAACTGAGACTTAGCTTGTTACTTTCAAAAATCACATAGCTATTCAATGGCAGTGCTAGAACTGTGGACTCTGCCTAACTCCAAAGCCTGTTCTCTTAATTACACTATGTTTCAAATCAAATAGAACTATAAATGGACAGAATATATATATATCCTATCCAGAGAGACTATATAGGATAAGTATAAATATATGTGTGAATATATACACATATATAAGTTAAAATTTACTAGTAACCAAAGGCCATTATAATATTGTCTATCAAATTGACTAAGATTTCTAAATGACAAAATTCAGTGGTAGGAAGTGTTCAAAAAACTAGCCTTCATTACACCTCTGATGAATATGCATGCTGAAAACACCTTTCTGGAGGATGACTTGGGAATATTTAACAAAAGCCTGTGGAAAGATGCACATCCTTTGTTGCAGACATGTGCCGCCCCTTATATATCCAGTCTCCTCCCTTTTCTGATCTGCCTTTGCCCAGGAAGACTGACCCAGCTGATTATGTCAACAGGCCATTTCTTCCTTCCTGACATGACTCCTGAGCAGAAGATGAGAAGGAAGAATTATGGGGGTCCTGGCAGGAGATGGGAGGAGGGAAGTTGAGTACTTATTCTCCTGGTTCCTTCCCTATAGGGCCACCTACTCCTCAGCACTGTCTGTCCTTGCACGTTCCTTTCATCTTTCCTGTCTTTGTTCTTATGGGTGCAGGGTGCCAATAGCTCCGTTGCCACTGGCCCTGGACTCCTCTGTGGTCACCCACTCCCTGCCTATAGCTTTGTAAAATCGCTGCTCTATAAATAAACCCTCTTTGGATTATCTTAGCTCAACTGAGTCTTAAATTTCTGGCTGGGATGCTGACTGACATACATTTAGACCCAGAAATTTTATTTTAGAAATCAGAAGAGTGCCCTAGCTGATGTGGTTCAGTGGATTGAGCACTGGCCTGAGAATCAGAGGGTCCCCGGTTCAATTCTTGGTCAGGGCACTTGCCTGGGTTGGGGGCCGGGTCCCCCACTGGGGGGACACTCAAGAGGCAACCACACACTGAGTTTCTCTCCCTCTCTTTCTCCCTCCCTTCTCCTCTCTAAAAATAAAAAAAAATTCTTAAAAGAAATCAGGAAATACAAAAACATATGAGGATATTTATAGCAGCATTAAAACTGAAAACAACTTAAATATTCAACAATAAGGAACTGGTTTCATACATACAATGGGGCACATTATGAAATACCATGTAGTCATTAAAAATCAGGTTATAAAAGACTATTAATGATGCAGAAATAAATTTATGAAATATTTTAAGTGAAGACATTATGTCCCCTATGATTCCAATTTTGCATATAAAGTTATTAGAAAAACATATCCCAAACTATTAGTAGTAATTATCTTTTAGTTGTAAGATCATAGCAAGATTTTATTACTGGCATATTTGTACTGTTTTTATATTTTTCACATTTTCTTGAATTTTCATATATTATTTTTATAATTAGAGAACATAAGTCCAAAATATTACACATTTTAAATAGAAAAATCAGAGCTAAATTCTTTGATACCCTTGCCCCCATGTGCAAGCATGCATGCACACACACACACACACTCACACACACACAATTTGACAGTCTGACATTTAAAAATGGGCTCCTTAGCCCTGGCTAGTGTGACTCAGTCAATTTAGTGCTGCCCTGCTAATCAAAGGGCCCCCAGTTCGATTCCCAGTCAGGGCACATACCTGGGTTGCAGGCCAGGTCCCCAGTGAGGGACACACAACAGGCAACTGATGTTTCTCTCCCTTTCTTTCTCCCTCCCTTCCCCTCTCTCTAAAAATAAGTAAATAAATAAAACCTTAAAAAATTGTTTAAAAAAATAAATAAAATAAAAATGGGCTCCTGCTGGTGAAGGACATGTGCACAGCTGCTGTTGCTAGAAGCATGGAAGGTCTATCGCATCTGTCATCAGCCATAGTACATGCATTCCTCCTAAGCCCAGCCCCACATGTCCATCAGCCATGATCTGTGAGTCCAGAAACCAGCTCTGGTCCATGACTGAGTGTAGGGCAATTAGAATGCCTTGATGGGGCCAGAAAGATTTAATGAGGAACATGGGATGTGCAGACCTCTGGGAACCTTCAAGTGAGACAATACAGTACCCTACAGAAAAATAAACAAACAAACAAACCCCAGATCTTGGAAAGACCTCAGCGTGAATCATGACTGAACATCTGAACAGTTGTGTGACCTTAAGCATGCTTTTAATCTTTCTAAGCTTCATTTTTCTCATGTGTAAAAACGGGGATAATACTATGAGCACAAAATTCAGGCTCACTAAAACAGCAGTGAATATTAAAGAGAAAAGGACCTCCTGAGCCAATAAGACATTCAAAATCCCAGATACTTGGCTTTGGTGCACAGAAAAAGCTGGTGGGGAGAGAGAAGAGATGTGACTTCAGAAAGGGAAAGGTCCTTTGGCATTTTGCCAAGATGGCCTCATACCCAGCTGAATTCAGCACATACTTTTAGATAAGAAGAGCTACCTGCAGTGGGTCCCAGGTCCAAACTAGAGTCATTCAGCTCCTCCTCCTCTTCCCAGAAGTACTGTGGTGGCTGCAGAATGCGGGACTCTTCACTCTCTTCACTGGGGAAGCCTGACCCAGGGGCTCCCAGGCCAGCTCCCAGTCCCATGGCCTCACTGGGCTCCTCTGAGTCCAATGACTCCAGGCCAGTGGGCAACAGAAGGTCCAGCAAGGAGGTGGAAGTGAGGCCCTCTGGGCCAGGTTCATCGGACCCAGCTGCATATGCTCCCAAGGACATTCCTGCACAAACACAAAAGCCAGAAGTTTATGAGAGGCCAGAGAGGAGAGGCTGCTGTGGGGTTAAGCTATGTCTCCACAACAAAAAATCTGAAGTGGGGATGGGGCTTTGGGAATCAGTCCTGACAGCCAGGGGTTGCCAGAGGATTCTTAGATGCCATTCAGGTTTCAAAAAGCCAAAACGCTTAGCCAGGACAAAGCAGAGACAGAGGGAGATGGGCAGGAGAGAATGAGGGATCAACGAACTCAGTATCCACTGGGCATCCACTCACTCAGAAATGTAGAATGTGTATACATTCTTTGCCACAGCTGTACTAGGTGCTGGGGGAACAAGTAGCCAAGAAGGGGTCCCTGCTTTTAAAAATCTTGTATGAACATTGCTGCTATCCTAGGCTGAAAAATTTCTAAAACTGCACTGAGAGTGTGATTTGTATTTCAGCAATATGGGATTCCTGAACACAGTCTTTGAAAAACCATGTGAGGCTATAGGTCGAATTCATCCAATGCTGGTAATGGCATGTTTGTTTAAAATCTTTACTCTGTCTCTCATATTTTATAAAACAAATAATCAAATTAAAAACAATAAATTAAAGGGTATCTTTGTTATAAAATAAACAAGAAATTAAAGGGACATCTTTTTCCTCTCATTCACTAATAGGAATATAGCCATATTTGCCAATTCCACAACTTAATTACTAACTTAATTACATGAATATTACTAACTTGCTATACGTCTTCCACAAAGTTGCTTAAAATTTCTGGGTCTCTCAGTCTTCTCATCCAAAAAACGAAGAAGGTGGATGAAATGACCTCCAAATTTTATTTTCCACGACTAACATTCGAGGGGTGCGGGCCTTTTTGCCCTGTATCCGTGTCCTCCAATTTCTTGTC